TCCCTACATCCTCATCAGCTTGCATAATCTTCTTGATTCGAGACTGCAATGAAATAACAAGAGAAGACTATTCATCTAAGCATGATCAAATATCCAAATTTCTCAATAAATACAGACCTTAATGGCAAAACAGTGAGTTAAAATTTTCCCCATTATAAGTTAAATTCTATAATAAATATTGATCGTAGACCTCGTTGTTAAAAACAATATTGCTATAATAAATAATAATCAAGAACACACCCACGCACCCCAAAAGCTAAAATAATGGCATGTGTAGATGGAAGAAGAGTTTAATCTCCTTAGCCTTAGGAAATACAATATTGCTGCTCATTTCACAGATTCTTGTATGCAGATTTACCATAGTTCTCAAATCATGTCAAAGGTTTATGACAGTAACATAGTATATTTCAAATTAAACACAGAGCTAATAATTGAGTAGATTAATTCAAACAAATGAATAAAATAACAAAATAATTCATGAGAAACGTAACGTGTCACATAACGAGGGCCCATTTGGCTCGGATTATCGATTTTGAAAACTGGTTAATGATAATGAATTTTCAAGAATCTCACTTCGTAAATAATCCATTCTATAATGCGGGTCAACCACATCGTAAATCTTAAGCTATCTAACCACCTGCAGATTCCTTTATTCTCTTTTTCCATTTTCTCCACTCATCTGAAGACTCGGGACAACTCCACAAATGCACACACTAGTCTCGAAACCTATATCTCACTACATCAACGTACAGAGCCAGCCCTCAGAAATCCATAATTTTAAGGCAATGGCAACCACGTAATAAAAAATAAGCACTCCAACACACAATTCATCTTCCACTTAGGCATTTTTATGACAAATTCGTTTCAAAAAGAAAAAAAAAATCACATTACTGTGATATTTTTCTAAAAAAATCGACTATTATTTAGCAAAGTTTGGGTTATATTATTTTCTAATTAAACATCAAAAGGTCGAAACACAACACCACGCAATATTAGAAAAACAAAATCAAAATACAAATACAAATACATACAAATATATATATGCGTGAATCGATACAAATATATACACACACATATCGAAAGAGCAAAAAAAAAGAGTATGAGAAGATTGACTTACAGCAGGAAAGCGGGTGGCGAGCTTCTTCCTCATGGCGACAAGCAATCAACAACTTCAATCACACAAACCCTAGCATATGCAAACCCTGATACGAATATACATACATGTAAATATATGTATATAAAGGGGAAAATTCCACAATTTGCCCACAAAAAAAATCGTATTTTGTTGCGAACTTTAATTTCAGAAGGAAATTAAAAACTAAAAGAAATGGATAATTTTTCCGCAGATTCGCTTTTGGTGGACTGTGGATAAATACTTTTACAGAGTCCAAGGCCAACATTGACTTTTTTCCTGGATTTAAATCTGATTTTTTTTTATTTTTAAACCTTTTCCTTGTTTTGCAATTTTGGGCCACTTTGTTATAGGTTAGATATAAGAATAATGCTATTTACAGTTAAAATTATTGATGATAATTCTACATGACATACATGTGATAATTTGTTATATCACGTAGGACGACAATCGATAGTTCTCGCTATAAATAACATTATTCGAGATGTATGCATCGACTTGTCTTGCCCAATTATATATGTCCATATGGATTTTTTAAGCCATAATCAATGTTAATTCCTTTTAAATCAAAACAGTTTAATCATATGGTATTACTTCAAATTCAAGAATGCATGACTACATTTTATAGTTTATTTTGGTTCAAATTCACATTAAGCACACAATTGTAATTGAAGGTGATGGTTCTTTTGGGAATGAAAATGGTGATGGCGAAGATAGAATGCGATTAGAGATGTTGGGCATGGTAGAGTTTGATCGGAAATCGAGTATTTTTTAGTGGAGGTGTGATGCAGATACGGAGAATGTAGTGGCAGAGATGGTATCAATGGTGGCAGAGAAGGAAATAGGCGATAACAATGGTGGTGATTTTGGTGGATGGAATAGGTGGCGAAGGTGGTGCGATGTAGTACGGAGGTGGCTGGGTGACGGCGCGCAATGATGAATCTATTATTAGTTAATAATTATAATTTTTAAAAGTATGATGTGAAACATGGGTCATAGATAAGTTTCGTTTTACTTAAAAAGGTGATAAAAGTTTCAATAACGTACACATTAAAATCTTTCCAAGTAACGTGATATTATATCTAACATTCAATATTCGAGTCTTTCACTTTTCAACTCTTGTTCACAGAAAAGTTAAATATTTATTTCAAATACTAATTCACGACTAATTAACTTATTATAGACATATTTCGTGAGACTCGTTGTTTCTATTTCATTATAATTTCTCTCAAGCAAACACATAATTAATCTAATTTCCATGAGTGAAAAATAAATAGAAAATAAACCATAATCCTCGTATATTACAATTTCAATTGGAAAAAGTTGTTTTATTTATCCATAATTTATTGTCTCGTTAGCATATTTGTCCTCAACTTTTAAAAAGGAGTAAATTGATCTCAACTTTTCCATATAGTTGCTCGAATAATCACCTAGACCAAACAAGTCCACTCCCTAGGCCTTGCTATCATGCCCCCGTTTGGCCCCCGTTACTTGGTATTATAATTTTTGAATTAGTATTTTTTTGAAGAATGAGTGATTGAAAAAAAAAATCGATTTACAAGTAATATTATTTTATTGGAGAATATGTGGTTAAAAATAAAAGAAAAAATGTATTATAATTTTAATGATGTCAAATGGGGGGCCATATGTCCCAAAGTACACTCCATTTTAATAAAGCTTGGAGTGATCTTAAACCTCTGTCCGATAATCATTATTTTTCAAAAAATAATATATTTTTTTTATAATCGTGGATGTACGGGTTAGCTTGCGTGCACCTCGACTAATTCCACGAGACCCTGAAAATTATGGCCGGGTACTCACTTCAGTGGCCCTGAGAGGACTCGAGCTGGTGACCATTGGGGAGCAAACCCAAGGTATGACCAATTGAGCAACCCCTCGAGGTTCAAAAAATAATATTTTAAACAGTGATTTTTATGAGAGCGTGTAATTAAAAAGTAAGAAAAAATTTTAAGCTTACATACAAATATTTTTATTGTGTTAATGTATGATTAAAAATGAATGTGTTAAAAAAAAAGAATTTTCAAATAATAATTGTCAAACATGGACTAAATATGAATTCTCTCTCCCAGTGGAGGTATAGTGGGAATTTGAAGGGACACGTGTTGACTTCATGAGAGAGAAGATAGAATCTAAGAACACACCATCCAACTAAAAATAACCTCATTCTATAATCGAAAAAAATGAAAACATTTTAAAGATTGGTTAAATTGTCACGTGATTCTCATGTTTTCACGACTTCCTGAACTATCCAAGTTGAGATGTAGAGCTTAACTTCATAAAGTTGAGCATTTAAAATGATTTAATAAAAGACTAAACACTCTTATGATTTGAGATGCAAAATCATCTTCATAAAGTTGAACATTTGAAAACCATGTAACGATTAAATAAAAACTTAATAATATTTCACTCAGTATTTGAGATGCAAAACACACCTTCGTAAAAGTTGAACATTTGAAAACTATTTGAAGATTTAGGGTCTATTTGATTGTAATGGTGAAAAATGGGTGGAAATAAAATGAATTCTAGGGAAAATAATTGTCTAGAAATTATTTTGCAGGGAATTGTTAATTAGTGTGTTTGATTGATATAATTTTCCACCCGAAATTTTTTTAAATTTTGTGTTCGTTTGCATCAAAATTGTTCATTAAAGTGATAATTTTTTTCACACTTGGTTATAAAGAGCTTGTTTGTGAAGGATTAAAATCAGATTAAAATTGAAAATATAGACGTTGAAGTTGACTTTTATTAGACGAGTGAGACCCAATAACGACTATATTTTCAATTTTAATTGGATTTTAATCATTCCCAAACAAGCTCAAAATTTGTTTCCATTTCCTAAAAAATCATTTTTTTAATCAAAGTTTAGTGTTCGTTCGTTTGCATGAAAATTGTCTATTAAAGTGAATTTTTTTTATAATTGATTATGAAATTTGTTTCCATTGTAAAAAAAAAAAAAAAAGACGCAGAACTCAGAATTTATTTTCCCACCTAAAAGGTGAGAAAATCCTTTCCAGCCACGCATGGAACGAGGCGCGTAGATGGAAAATTTTCGAATCAATTTCCATGGCAAATTATGCACATCAAACACTGTCAAACATGGAAAATGGGAAAATGCATGTTATCAAACAGGGCCTTAGTTCAGAATTGACACTATTTGACACTATCTCGCTGAAATTTGAGGAGCAAAACTTATTTTCATAAAGTTGAACTTCAGGAATTTTACACTCTCTTGCTCGGGATTGATTACACAATTATAATAAAACAAAACTTTCCTTTTTCAAAGATTTGAGATTAACTTACAATCAGTGTAATAGATTGAGGGACAATAGTTCAATTTTTCCTTGGTTTTTAGCCTTGAATACTTTTCACTCTCTCCCTCTCCTCTGTCTCTCGATTCATCCCCGTCTACGAAATAAATCCAATTCTCCATTTCCATCAAACAATAATTTGAACCTAAATTAAACGCCGAGCGATTTCTCTATCGATCGATCTGTTACAGGTGAGAGGCCCCACCCGAATCCCTCTCTCTTTGATCTGTTGTTGGTGTTTAGGGATGGGGGCAACATATAATCTATTTCTTTCAATTTTATCTTTTAAATTTATTTTTGGTTTGAGGATTTAAGGTTTTGAAATGGGCATTAATTCGTTTTAATTTTTAATTCTTGATTAATCTATCCATGAATTTGTTGGTTTAGTTGAATTTTGTATGGCCATTCCTGTTTCTTGATCTGCCTGTGGACTTCCATTTGTTATTTGTATAAATAAATATAAAAATTTGATGTTTATCAGAAATTTTTACGTGTATTTGATTTTGTATGATTTATCTATTTACGAACCTCTATGTGAATATACAATCTTTTTTTTTTCTTTTCTTGGGCTAAGACATTAACTTAGATGGAAATGTTGTGTTATATTCCTAGAATTTTAGTTTAGAAATTTTATGTTGCCAAGTTTTCCTATATTGGGACTGGATTTCCTGTGGAATTAATTTAATTTTGATTAGCGGATTCAAGAAGGGAATTTTCTTCTCTTTTTCTCGAGTCAAGAGTTTGGATGTTAGTATTACAATGAATCAATGTTTTGCAAATAAATAATTGAACTTAGAAGAAAGAAATTGGTACTTGGGAAAATAATTTGCGGTTAATGATTTTAAATGAAGTGAGAAGCTGAAAGTTGAAAGAAGCGAATCACCATAATGCGAAGGAGGTAACAAACTGGTAGATGTATTAGATGTTTACTTTGCTCTTCCTAATTATGACATGTATTCGTGAATGAAATTGCTGAGGAAAAACTACACATGGTGTGGATTTGTGCTATATATGGTAAATATAGATTCTGTCCTTTTCAAGCTAATTAAATTCCATTAAATATAATAGGTCATAAACTTCACAGCAATGGAGAACTTTGCATTAATTATGATAAAAGATTTTATTCATGTATGCACTAATTAGCCAGGGCACAAAAGTTTATTGGAACTCTTGAGGGGATTGTGGAAGATGAAAAAATTCGTTAAGGATTTTGTGTTGATTGTAGATAGGTATGACTCGGGAAGTAATTGTGATGCTATGACATTTTTTAGCAAGCAAGGACATGTTAGGTTTATTTGGTTATGTTTTTCTATTGGGTTCTTAGTAGCAGTGCATTTTTAAATTTCTTACCTCTTATTCTGAGTTCGACCTCTAGTGTGTGTTTCAGCATATCAAGCTTAACATTTATTAGCACGTGACTTATATTCATTGAAGTGTTTAATGTTTACAGCTGGATTCACATTTGGCTTAAGTGGTCAAGCGTTAGTCACACACTTTTAATTATGTAGGTATATTGTTATTTATCCATCTAATCAATAATTTATGGGTCTTGGGTTCCATTATAAGTCCTGCTCGGAATTGTTTTCCAGTTGTTTTAATGTCATTATGAAATCTACCTCAAAAGAAAGTCATCTACTGTCCTATTACTCTTCCTTTATTTATTGCCTCTGTGATCAATCCTGGCATCCCAGATAGGCTGCTTCCTTGTTCTGTGTTTAAAGTAACGGCATAAGAATAGATAATGAGACGTATTTTGATGGAAGGTGCATTTGTTATTCGAGACTTCAATGGCAATATTCTCCATTCTGGTCAATTAATGGACTTCAAGTTCCTATTCTTCTGCAAATTTTAATTTGGTGGTTTAAATTTCTCAACTTGTCTCCCAGCAAATGTCATCTACCAAACTTTGCTTTATATGCATCAACGTACACTTACTCCTGATCAGATGGGATAGGATGCCACGTAGAATTAATTCATTCCACTTGAAGAAATTATGAAAAAGAGACTATTTTTTTCTGGAGATATATGTCCACGTGTCTGACCAGAACATGTTTTTTGCCTGGAGTACTACGTAATCGAAAAGGTCAAGTAGAGTAAATGAATATAGGGATTTCAGTTTCATCACTGCATACACTAATTTTTTATTTGGTGTGATTGTTCTGCTACCCACCCCCACCCTCTTCAGCGTCCTGTTTTTTTCCTCTCTAGCCCATATAGTCATTATCAGACACAAAACACGACCTCGTTGTTTGTTCTTTTTTAGCTATGGACACTGATGCCATAAAATATGCTTTTATTAGCGGTTGGTGGAAATATTACGATTTCTCATCTTTTTTCTATTTTCAAAATTACATTAATTATGGGGTTTCTATAGTAAATAACAGTAATTTAGCGGAATAGACAAGTATGCCTATCAGTACATCTGTGCTTGGTTTGCTTTTGCTTGCATATATTTGTATCCAATGGATATCTTATCCACTAGTGTTGCATGTATTAGCAGCTGAAGCAGAGGATATGTCTCCAGCATCCAGATCTAAGTCCAAAGACAAAAAGTCTGCTAAGGAACCTCTGAAGGATTCTTTGAAGACTTCTGGTCATGCTAATGTCACTGTTGGGATTCCAGCAAGTGGATACAATCCTGTTTTGGGAACATTCCATACAGCACCACTTTCCTCAGTTGGTCCACTTCATGTGAATGGTCGCTATGGAAACATAGACGAGACAGATGATCAAAGTGGGATCTCATTTGGGACTGGCGTTGAGTACGATTCTGTTTCCAATAATGGTAGCTGGTCTGGTGAATCAGAAGACCATAAAGAGAAATCATCTCATCATCCACTGCATCAAGAGTCAGTGCCTGGAGCTGACAATGACAAACGAGAAAAAATTCGCCAACAGAACGAGAGAAAACATCAACGACAAAAGGAGAGGCGAGCTCAAGAACTACATGAGCGATGTAGTGGCTATCTCATGTCGAGGAAGCTAGAAGCTCTTGCACAACAACTTGTGGCTATGGGTTTCTCTCAAGAAAGGGCAACGATGGCTCTTATTCTGAATGAAGGCAGAGTAGAGGAATCAGTTGCATGGCTATTTGAAGGAGGTGAAGAAGAAAAGCAGAGGGAACGGAATCTTGACAGTGGGGGTAATTTGAAAATAGACATATCAGAAGAGCTTGCTCGTGTTGCAGACATGGAAATTAGGTACAAGACCTCCAAGCAAGAGGTTGAAAGAGCTGTAGTCACCTGTGAGGGTGATCTTGAGAAGGCAGACGAAACATTGAAGGCACAGAAGCAGGAGCCCCCTTCTACCCCTCCAAAGCCAGAAGAAACAGGTTATCCTCCTACTGTAGTCAATGGCAAGCCACCAGTGGCTATTAGTCAGAATGCAATGAGACCACTAGCAAAACCTACTATATCTAATACTGCACAATTGAAAAGGGATGGTAAAGATTTAAATGACACCAAAGTTCCAGTTACTGCTGTTTCTTCGGTGGATCCTGGAAGCAAAAGTATGCAGATGTCGAAGAAAATACAACCGAAAATGGATTGGACCAAATTGCAACAGATTGTCATGCCGGCAGAGAAAAGGTGGCCAAATGCAGGATCAAATCCTTCAGTTTCCCAGTCATTAACACCACCTTTGCAGGCTTCGCCTCCAGCAGCCAAGACAGAAGCCTGCTGTGTGGCTGCTGGAAATGTTTTGAAGAACGTGCAGACTGGATCAGTGAGAGAACCAGTCATGGTGATGCAGCGACCCCAATCCATCAATGTAAAGCAGGTTCCTACTTCAAGTGCTAGCTTGTCTACTCCTGGGACAGATATAGATTGGTATAATGGCGTGGAAACTGTGAAGTCCAATGGGTTGCTGCCACCTGTTCTAGGCAGAAGCCTTATCCCCAATGACGTGAGCTCAAATCTATTGTATAATAACCAACTAAATTATCTACCTTGTCAGCAATTTTTGTCAAGCAGTGGCTCAGTGGAATCCCAAGGAACTAGACAGGGAAATGGTTTGTGGAGTACATCAGGTACATCTCCAACACTGGGCCCAGCTTCTTCCCTTGGACTGTTCTCTGGGCTTGGCACCAATGGCTCATCTGGTTCTTCATACCTGGTAGACTGGAAAACAGGCAGCTCAACCTTGCAGTTAGATTACACCAACATAGACTGGAGTTTGGATAGGAGGTCGTCTATGTCTAGGCCTGGAGGGTTCTGGCCGAATGAGAATGCCTTTCGGGGAAACAGTACACATGCTTACGATTTGATAACTTCTGGTCGGGGCATCAAGACTGCTATAAGACCCATTCTGTCCAATGGAAATAGTGTTTTTATTCCCGGGTTGCAGGACAGGGTGGCTTCTACCCAAACGACTACTGGTGGCTCTCGAGAATGGACTTCTCCTTTTGAAGAGAGAGACATTTTCAGTTTACCCAGACAGTATGTTTCCTCTCCATCTCAGTAAGATGAGTAGAGGACTAGAGAGAATAAAGAAAACCAGAAAAATATGCTTGGATTTGATGTTGGTTGGTTCCTGCAATACTTTTTACTGTCGATATTTTGTTATGGACTCTTTGTTCTATCTCTAGTTATTAAGCCCCTATTTGAGCCCCATTTTTTCAAGAATGCATTTTTTCAAAACTCATTTTCAACCACACATTTTACTATAAAATAATTATACACGTATTTTAAAAAAACCTTACTTTTTAATCATGCATTCTTAAAAATATCACTATTTCATAATATATTTTACACCAAAAATGGGGATCAAACATGGGCTTAGTCATTTCGAGATGTCATTCCCAAAGCAGCCTTGTCTCTACATTGATGAGGATCGAATATGCTTTGATGATAGGCCGACGACATGCGTACACTAAAAGATAGACTCCTTCCCAACCACCTACATACCCGAAAATGAAACTTGTATTGACTTATGGCATATCACTTTATCGTCGAATTTAACATAGCGAAGGACAAGAGAAGGCGTGAGCACAACAAAACTCGGATCACCACAAATAACAGACCAAAAATGCGAATTCTGTACAAAAGAACATCAAAATCAAAAGTAATTTCCCGTATTTCTCGAATAAACCACCTACAGAAAAGGGGACAGGCTGTAGAACATTAGAGGCACCTCACAAAATCTTGCCCTCTAATGCATAGAGCTGGCGCACAACTCACAATCCTCCCTACCTGTCTTTAGACCGAGTCCACTCTCCCCTTCGTCATCCTAACCAACTCACAGAGTATATTGATAGGTGTATAATTGAATTGATACGAAAGCTATGAATTTCAACTAAATTGCAAGTCAGAAAAATATTGGTGTTCGCCGAACATGTACTAAACTTTCGACCAGGTTGCTACAATGTGTTTCTGTTCAAACTGCCCCGGTTTCCACGTAGACTACCATATCAGCATGTCATTAGAAGTTAACCACCACTCTTTTCAGATAGTTTTACGAAAGGAAATAAATAGAATGATCAACATTGAAATAAATTATAAGTTCATCAAGTTCAGTAACCACAGGTGAATTCTACCCCATCTTAAATGCATATCAACATGTGGAGACAACCATGAGCAAATAACCCAAAAGGCATTATTTACATGATTGAAAAATGAAGTGTTCGGCTACCCTTGTTCAGTTTACTAATCCTTTAAGACAATTTTATAAAATCATTTCCATTTCGCCAAGATATTTGCTAAAATTGACAGCCAGAGTCGGACATTGGAGTTAATTACAGGGGCACACGACAGGAAACAGATAAGAAAAGAGTACCACAGAGAAAAAGTTTGCTGCAAAGACAACCTTTATAATCAAAAGATGATCCAGGGTAGTTACCCCCATGATTATCTTTGTTAGATGCTGTCAAGCTAGTTCCTCCTCCTTCAGCATAGAGGCGAGTGCTTAGATTTGACAATCAGAAAGGCCACAAGAATGAGAATGGATTCCTTCTTCCCTGATGTTGCACATTTTCTCTCCCACTGTTGTGTGCACTATTGCTGCCACTTGCATTCCCAGTTCTCGAATTCCAGTTGGGACGAGCACTTCCAGAACCCTGTGAAGGCAGCTCGAGACGGCAAACAGGACAGGAGTTGTGTTGAACCAACCAAGGAGTAATGCAATCAGAATGGTAAATATGTTTACATGGCATCTGCCTAGCTTCAGTACCCAACTCAAATTTATCTTGACAAACTGGGCAGTGAGAATCAGTACTAAGATGCCTCTGAGTAATTTTAATAGTGGGCATAGCATCAATTGCAGAACGAGGTGCCGGAGGTGGGCCCTGCCTATCATTCATGGTAAGCTGCTCAATCAATTCTTGCAGTCCAGGCCCCATAAAAATATCACCAAAATTAGCTCCACGCTGCCCCATTCTATGGTTTCCATTGAGAAAGGACTCAAATGCATCACTATCAAACATGCTGGCGGGTGATTGCCCATGAACCATGAACCATGGACCAGAAGGTCCAGAACCGAAGGCAACACCGTTTTCAGGATTCAAGCCTGATCGCGTCCTAATGTCAAAGGTTGGGTTTCTCCCAGACATTCTCTGCCTCATAAGTGCTGCAAATGCATCCATGATCCCAAATCTTGGATCATGGAAAGGTTCCACCGCTCCAAAATCAGATGTATTTTCTGAATGAGATCCAACGAAACCCTGCTGTTGAGCACCCACGACCTCATGAAGCTCTTGTACAAAACCTCCATCACAATATAAACAAGTAAAATTACGACCATGAAGCCGAACTGGCTGCCTGCATTGGTGGCACCAATGAGTATTTCCGCCACTTGACATCGCTTCTTGGTACTGCTACTATTAATATGACTGCTGTATCATTTGCACAAAAAAATACGTTGTAGTTGAGTTTCAGATCTCAAAAGAAACCCTGACAGAAGGGTAATAACTTTGAAGTGAATGGTACCAAAGTTATGGACAAAATATAAAGCACTGCTTAACGAAAGAAAAAAATTTCTTTCGATGCATAAACACAGGATACAAAAGTTCATAATATGATATCATGAAAGCCTTGAGAAAAATGTTCAAACAAACCAGAGGAAAATGATACAAGTGGAAACCTAGAATAAGCTCTACTTGACTGTAACTCGTGAGCAATTTTTATTAGAAATAGAATGGAAACACACAGCAACAATATAACATCACAACAAAGAAAGTGAACAACAACTACAAAGGATAAAAACCCCAAAAATTTCATTTGGACAAGAAAAGAGAGATCGAGAATGGAGAGAAGAAAAACAAGAGGAAATCCTTTTCTTTGTTTTAGTCTTGTGAAAAAGATAAACAAGCATAACATGGTCACAACTTTGTGCTAACTTCAAATATCATTTTCTTAAACTCACCACTCATCCAGTTTTCCCTTTTCTTTTGGCGAATTGAAGTGAGTTTTTTCTTTTATATGCATTTGTTCATTTCTCTCACTCAGCCAAAGATACAAAATAGTAATTGACTCGATATATTTGCTAATAAAATGCAGTGAATTTTATGTGAACTCAAAAATTAAGTGAAAATACATATACAAACCCATAATCAAGAATACTTACCAAGTTTAGCATATCCCTCAAACACGATAATTAAATCAATAATGGTCACCAAAAATAGACATACAAATTCTCAAATTAAGGTGAAGAAAATAAAAAAAAACCTCAAATTAACAAGAATTAAACCGAAAATAATAACATGGGATATGTCATTCTTTCCTCTCTTTTTTCGTTTATGCTTCCCCAAATCATGCGAAAAAATAAGAAATCAAATCAGTATTATTCACCACAGCTACGCTTTTAAAAAATAAAATAAAATCTGAATAAGAAATATAAAGTCAACCAAAGTCAAATTAACAATAATTTTGCAGAATTTTGCAGAATTCCAACAAAAATTCTGGTTTTTTTATTTTATTTTTTTCCGTCACATGCTTCCCTAAATCAGTTGCATCGATATAATCCCCCATTCGATAGAATCAAGAACATAAACCCTCAGACATAAATACGCGTGTAAAATAAGAAAACAATTGAAAACAATAACTAAACAAAAGTCAGATTAAACTTCAAAATATTTCAAAAGATCTGAGTGTAAGATACCAGAGAATACTGTTCAGATGGACTATTGAAAGAGAATGAGAGAGGTGGACGAGATCGGATATGTGCGGTTCTTTTGGTTTCACACGAAAACACGCCTGGTTGGTAAGTACGACGTGTTCTTTCGGATTTTCCAACTTTTTGTCCCTTCCCACTTTTCATTTTCATTTTGAAAAGTATTAAAAGGAAAAAAAAAAAAAAATAGATATTTTACTACAGAGGTACTAGAAGGAGTTTGTCTTTTCTAATAACACGTGCAGCGTTTATATTTGAGTCTAGATTAGCATGAATAGACTGTATCGATAAAGTGTTACTATGTACTTGGTTTTATGATACATACAAGTGAAATTAATTAGTATTGCATATTTATGAAGTAGTGTCAAGGGCGATTCTGTGTAAATTATATGGCTGCACAACATAGTTGATTAGATGCTATAGGAAGAGTAATAAATGTAAGTAACAATTGATAAAAACCAAAATACAATGATCAGATGCTATGGATATAGAAAATAACACAGCAGCAATAATATTTCCATTAAGTGAAACCTCCAAATTTAATCCAGTGATGGATGAACATACGAGGTTTTGAGAATATTATAGCATGTTGGTCAATGTGCAAAAGCAAAAAAAAAAGGCTACAAATTCACATCTACGACAGCCTTCAAAAAACTACTACTGTGACCGGTTGTGGTTCTTTGGTACAAAATTATCTCATGTAATTAACCACTTCATCGAACAAAAGATAATTTCAAACAAAAGAACAACAAAATGTCCTACTGCATTTTTTTGATGGACGTCTGCTTGTCTTCATTGTTAGTGTGTTTGTCAACTTTCTTGCTGGCAGGACTCGGTCATCAGATTTATGGAAAAGTGACATCTTCACACGAGGAGATGAGGTTGCAAGAAGTAATGCTGAATCTGCATTCTTGATTTCTATTACTGGACTTGCATTTTTTCTGTTGTCTGGGGTCTTCAATAGCTGGTTCTTTTGCAGTTGAGTCAAGCATGAAGATGATTTCGTACTTATGATCTGTTGAGCTTGACTGTTTCTGTACGATAGTGCTGAATTCAGTAGGATTTGATAGCAACTGTATTGCCTTCACATGGAATGCATGGTCTTTATCAATTTGTGTATGAACAATCTCATTAAGATTTGGTGCAGTTTCCTGACGATATTAAAGATGTGTGAGTAGTGACTAAAGTAAATTATTCAGTGATAAAAATAGTCCACTATACATTTCCAGTACATAGTTTATAATCACTCTTTGGATGTCTTACATATGCATTTGAGAACAAGTATGTTTTTCCAAGGGATGGTTCATTTTCAAAAGTTGAAATATTATTGTCCCAAATTGTGGCATGAACTCTATTTTCCTGTTGAAATTAGAAATAGAATCGTGGTGAGTTAGTCGATTGTCTAAAGTGTATTAAAGATTACACCAGAAAAGAAGATGTGAATATATGGGCAAAAAAATCTTTGTACACTAAAACAGCATAACAGGAAAGCAAATGAAGTCTATATAAACTAAGTTATACCTTTTCATCCATTAGTATGAAGTTCTAGTATTATGAGGGGCTGTGTTGAGCTGTTCTTGCTGGGCTCTTTTCAGCAACAAATGCTTTTGCCGTCCAATTTCTTTGACCAAGAGAGATAAGTTATGAGACTGTATTCCATTGCAATTGCTTGTGTGTGATAGCAACTAATAAAAAAGAAGACAAAGATAATAAATGTAAATACAATTGTTGTAAGTGTTATTAAGGCTATGTTTGATAGCCTCTCTTTTCCATGAAAAATGGAAAACATTTTCCTTTTCCATGCAAAAGTGTTGTTTGATGGGTAAAAGTTGGCCAGGAAAAAATTTTCCTTCCCCCCTCTGCCACGTGCCACTTTCCATGAAATTGTGGAAAAGATTTTCTCACCAAATGGTGAGAAAATCTTTTCCAGTTTCTG